GCAGATGGGGAGGGAAGAAGCCCCAAGATTTCCCAGGGAGTGGATTGAGTAGCTGGGTTGTACTGGATGCAAAGGATCAGGGAGAGTAAAGGTAAGCCTCGGAGCCCCAGAAAGAAGCTGGTGGGTGTTGCAGAACCAGGGAAGTAGAGGGAGAACCAGGGAAGTAGAGGGAGGTGATGGTGGGGCCAGGACCAGAAGCCGTGCTCCTGGGGCCCAAGAAAGGGACTGAGTTGGTCTGGGTGAGAAGGATCAGGAAGCAGTATTGGTTCCCCAGGTATCTGGGGCCCCAAGACTAGGAATGGCACAGGTCCCAAACTAGGAGTATAGAACGGCGGGAGGGATGGAAGGGTGAATGTGGCTTAGGGAGTCCCGGCGCGGAGAGCTGTGCTATAGACTCACCCCAAGAGGCCTGAGGATAGTAGTGCCACATTTTTATTTTTAATGAGGAACAAGTTACACATTAAGTCAGAGACTTTTTCTCCTCCGCTCATAATGGTCCCTGTGAAGATTTCTTGAAATATTTTTAAAATGATGTTAAGAACACTGGATATGATAGTTGTGGGAATGTTTAAATTTGAGAGAGAGCAACATTTAGGAAGGATTTACAATAATCCAGATGGCAGATATTGAAATGGAGGCCTGAAATAGTACAGGGTTAGAAACTGGGAAGTTGGAGTTGAATTTAAGGATATCTCAGGAATTTGGAAGCATAAGGATAATATCAGTTTTAACTACTGTAATTGTAGGTTAGAATCCTGCCTGATGTTTCCCAGTGTATAAGAAAAGATGAAATATGGGACAGCATCTGAATATGTCCATCCTATCCCTCATCAATTTAAGCCTAATCATGAGCGTCATATCATGAAGGGATGGGGTCTTTAGGAAACGAATAAGTCATAATGGTGGAACCCTCAAGAATGGGATTACTGCCAGTATAAAAGAGGTGACAGGGAGCCATCTACCTCTTCTGCCACAAAGATACAAAGAGGGTGAACAGACCTTCATGAAACATGTTAGAAGAACAAAACTTTATACCATGGTATCATGATTTATTTGCCTCATGGAAAATTGGCCTATGAATGGCTAAAATATATCTGTTGAGGTTGGCTGCCATTCAGCTATTTGTTTTAGGAACACATTCTTAAATTAGGGTGCTGTTTGCTACATAGTATTGTACCAGATCTTAGATTCTCTAGTATCCAGAACTGTGTGAAATTTTTTTTTAGAAGTTACCTAGTAGAATGTATACTGTTATAGCAACATGAGTGGACAGACAGCATCTAAGACATAAATTCACAAACTATGTTTTTTTAAAAAAATTTATTTATTTTCATTTTATGTGCATGAGTGTATTGCCTGCATGAAGGTAAGCGCACCTGTGTCGTCCAATGCCTGCGGAGGGTTCAAGATTCCCTGGGACTGCAGTAACGGATGGTTGTTAGCCCCCATGTGGGTGCTAAGAATCGAACCTGGGTCCTTTGCAAGATCAGCTAGTGCTCTTAACTGCTGAACCTTCTCTCTAGCGCCCACAAGGTATAGTTTTTAACACTTTGCTGGCATAGACACAAGATGAGACTTTCTTATACATATCAGCAATTCAAAAGCTATCCTTAATTCCATATTCCATAGGAGCCACAAAGCTTGGGAGAGCTGCAGATTTGAAATTACATTGAACTCAACCAGCCTAGTTAGAATCCACGTTCTTTTTGTTTGCTTGATATCAACACCTGATTCTGAAGTTGTGCAAGTTCATCATTTAAAAATCCAGAGGCATATGTGGTTTGGAATAAAAAGATGCATGTGGGAGAGAAAGGTTCTGGAAAGACGATTCCTTTGTATGTCTCTAAAAAGTATGGACTTTTGGCTTTCAAGGAAAATGAAGGAAGCCATCCAACACAGAAGTCTTATGATTAGAGTTGAGTGTATAACAAATCACTCTCCTCTGTTTCTCCTTAAGTTTCCTTAGTGACTTAATATAACTTTTATTTTCATTCCTGGGGGCAAGCCCTTTCTGACTGTTATTCATTTATTTTAATTTTCTTATATGAAAACATGAGAAAAATCCCATTCATTTTTAATATATTAATTAAAAATATTCAGTAAACATTATTTCATAGTTCAAAGGAACTATGAAAATATCAAACTTAGTCAAATTAAGGCATAATGATTCACATTGTAAAACAACAGGTTTACAGATTTTTGTGAAACTTCAGAGGATTTTTTTTCTTACTGGAAGAGGGGCATTCAAAGGAAGTTATTTCTTAAAGGACCATGGTATAAAGTGAGCTATTTATGCATTTTTGCACATGATTCAAACCACATAGATGAAAGTTTTACTAGTTAAGCTAGTTAGACAACATTTGAAAACAAGTCTTCAGATGCCCTTAATTTTGAACCTGGAGGATCATGCTGTTAACTAGGAGTGCAGGGTGTCCTATCTTTCAGTAACAAAAGGTGCTAGTGCGCCGTATTTTAGGAGAGTTAAAATAAAGTTTCTCAAGCAGAAAATGATGACTTACAATCTAACTCATGACCTAAAAGACTGCTTGCATACATCTGGTAATCCTATTAGAAGACAAACTTTCCTCATTACCTGTCTGGAATCAAGACTTTTGTTTAAGGTTTTGAATTTAATTCTTTTAGTTTTTGAGAATTAGAAGTTAAGCTGTGTAAGAGTTAACAAACAAAAGCTTAAGAATATGGTACATTTGTCACAAACTGCCTTTCAAGATTTTGGGGTCCTGGTAGTGCAGGCCTGTAATCCCAGCTACTTAGGAGGCTGAGGCAGGAGGATCAAAAGTTCAAGTACTGCCTGGACTACAGAGTAGTGAGTATGAGGTCAACTTGGACAACTTAGTAAGACATTTCCAAGCCTCAGAACCCACCTCACACAAATGTAAGAGGTAAATGTTCTTACTAATCAGAAATTTTAAAATGGGCATTTTATTTTATTTTTTATTTTATTTATTTTTCTGTCTTTTTGAGACAGGGTCTCCCTGTAGCCCCAGCTGTCCTGGAACTTACTATGTAGACCAGGCTGGCCTTGAACTCACAAAGATCCGCCTGCCTCTGCCTCCCAAGTGCTGGGATTAAAGGCGTGCACCACCACGCCAGGCCTAAAATGGGCATTTTAATATGAAAATGTTAATATGAAAATCTTATGTAGAACCAGAAAGATTTTTATGCAGTAATTTTCTATACTCAATTCAAGTTGAACTGATATCTCGTACATTGTTAAGTGAAGGAAGCCATGCAGTCATCAGAACTACAACCCTCTGTTTTCTTGACTGTGCAGTAATGAAACTAATTTTTTCCCCAAGAGACTTAGTACCCCAGAACACAAAATTTAAATACACGTCTTCCTCAGCCAGGAGCAGCAGAATGAAACCAGCCAAGAAGAATGAGTCATATGACTATACACAAAGCTGCCAGGGCTTTTTTTCTTTCCATTTCATGCGGCTGTGGAAAGGAAAAAGTGGAGAATTCCAATGTTCACTTTAAGTCATGTTGTAAATGGTAGAACAATGGCCATGTACTGTATTAGGCCAAGATATGGGACTTCAATTCTAATATGTCCTTGCAATCCAAAACTTATTAAAATGCATTGAAATGTCCAGGATTACTGAATTAAATTATCCTATGTAATTGGACAGTTTAACTTGATAGTTTCTTCTTGTGTTAAAAATCATGATAGTCATGGGGAAAATTTTTGAGTTAAAAGATTATTGAGGAAGATGCTTTTATGGAAAATTTAAAAAATATTTATTTATTCTGTGTGCACATGCCACAACACATGTGGCAGAGGACAACTTTCAAAGAGCTGGTTCTCTTCTGCCACCAGGTAGGTACCAAGGATCAAACTTAAGTCATTAGTCTGGCAGCAAGTACCTTTACCATCTCACCAGGCCAGTGCCAGAGTTTAATTAAACTGCACTGTTCATCCTTCATTGGCTTGGTGTGCTTTCTAAGGAAGTTAAGGTCTCATTTAATTTTCTTATGGATTTTGCATTGGCTCAAAATTAAATCATACTTTCAGGATTTGGTCAGCCTTTAATCCAATAAAAGGTTTATTGAGTTTCCAGCTGATCTTATCACTCTGCTGAGTACATAGTGGGCTCATGGAAAAAAAAATCAGATTTGGTTCATGTCCACCAGGTGCTGGTCAGAAGACAAAGCTTCAGCCAAGCATGGTGGTACACATATCTATAATGCCAGCCACTGCTGCAGCCGGAGAGGACAGAGATTGGAAGCCAGCCTGGGCTACATAGCGAGTTTCAGTGTGGCCTGAGTAATAGAGTGATGCTGTGTCCAAGAAACAGTAAGCAAGCAAACAAAAACAAAACCCACAAAGATAAGGTTAATCCACCACTGCAACTGGATAAATTTAGTGGCTAGCATTTATCATGTGCCAGAAGCTTTGCCTGGCTTTTCTCAGACAAAACTATGACAGTCTGAACATTACAAGGTGAGGAGAGTTATGTAAGAAGGCCAAGGGCAAAGAGACAGACATCTCTGTGTTTGCACCTGCTGTGTAATCTCTGGGATCGTCGAGGCAGAAAGATCTGGGAACACTGACTTGGATGATGAGCTACAAGGGTCCAGCTCTAATCTTGTCCCTCTGCTGGTCAGATTTTGTGACTATCAGCTCCCCGTGGGTTCTCAGAGCAATTTCAAGCCATGGCTAGACTTCGGGGAGCCGGGGGAGGGGTGGCTGAGAAACGTTGGAAATGTGAGCTGTCTAGGCAGGGTGAAGATGTAGGCGGTCTCCAGCGTGCCTCTTCTGAAACTGACTTGGAAAAGCTTTAAGTTCCATGGAAGACCCCTGTACCCCTACAGCCTGAAACCTAGGTCAAAGCTCACCGCGCCTCACCGCGCTCTAGGGAAGGCGGACACTAGCGCCCCCTGCAGCCCCAGGTGCAGACCTAGGACCGCGCCAGCGGTTCATCACCGGCACCGAGGCCTCGAGCAGTCAGGCCCGGGGATCTTCTGTGACTCCGGCGGGCGGGGCGAGCTGCTCCGTGCGCTTCGGCCCCTCCCAACCTCGCTTCTAGCAGCCCGCGAGGGGCGGCCCCGCGCGGGGCCCTGAGGACGTCACGGACGCGCGGTCGAGCCTCCAGCCCGCCCCCTGCTCGCCTTCCCTCTCTTCTCTCGGTAGCCGACACCTCGGGGGCCCCGGCAACCGACGCTTGCACACTCACCGCCCCACCCGCCGCGTCCCGCACCCGGACCCGGACCCGGACCCGAAGATGGCGGCTCTCAAACTCCTGTCCTCCGGGCTTCGGCTCTGCGCCTCCGTCCGCAGCTCGCACGGCGCCTGGTCCCAGGTACACTCCGGGGGACAGGATGGCCACGCGCGTGAAGAGCGCGGACGAGCCGCGAACGGAGCCGCGCTTCTTCCCCGCCCATCCCCGCCCGGGAAGTGGCATCTTCAGCGCGGCGCGCTGGGCCTGGTTGCCTGGGCTGGGCTCGGCATCCGCTTCCCTGGCGGGCCGAGATGGGGCAGGGCCCCGGCGCCGCGCTATTCTGGGGGTGGCCCGTGACCCTGGCGGCTGGGACAGGGCGCTGGTTTGACGGCGGGAGCGGCCCGAGTAGTGCGCGCCTTGCGGCCCTCCTGGGGGAGCTGCTGGCATAGGCGCCCGTGGAGGCCCAGAACCCGCGGCCGGGTAACCGTTGCAGGAGCAAGTTCCCCGCCAAGTGGGTGGATGCTGTGCGCCGGGGCGGAGGGCCACTCCCCATCCTCCTTCCCTATATGGCTGCGGCGCACTGCCGCGGTGGAACAGGGAACCCGGACTGGAGCGCTCGTCGGGCGTCTAGCCCGCCAAGCCGGTGGAAACCGGTGGAGGTCCTGCTGTAGTTGCAGTGCTGTCTGCCAACGCGAGTGTTCTTTTATTTGGGGGCCTCTCGGATCCGGGTTAGAGGCTTGCAGGTTTCAATGTCATTTAAACCGTTGAGCCACTTACTTCCATGTCTCCACCCAGTGGTATCCTGAGATACCCCTGGCAGTGCGTCTGTCGTTGGGTATTTTTGCTCGAACACTGCTCTGCCTGTAAGCCCACATTCGGGTGGGATTCCAGTGTGGAGGCCAAGCTGTAGCGTGCTGGATAGAAGGCGGGTCCAGGAGGGTGGCTCCACCTTGGCCATTTCAGTTAGCAGAGGAACCTCTTCCTTGATCTGGAAAATGAAGTATTTTCCTTGGTGGTATATCAAATAATAGTAGCTTATGGTGCCTTGCACATGGTGTGTGCTCACCATGTGTACTCAACTCTCTCCTAGCCTGCCTTCATTCTCATTGTCAAGAACCTAGGGAAGTCATCAAGCTCCTCCTGTGCTAGGGAGGGATTCAGAACAATTTCATTGATAATGCCTCTCACTAGGAGACACGTTGATAATTGTTGAAGGCTTTGGATAGGTAAAACATGACAAAAAAGAGAACTTGACCTTCAGTCACCCTGCTGCTACTGAGCCACAGATACAAAAACCAGGACACCCTGATGTCCTTGGGCCAAGGTCAAAACGATCTTTATTTTGGCAGGACATGTTAATCTAAGTATAATCTACTCACTTCCAGTCGTTCCCACTTTGAATATAATGATTAAACCATTTCCCAAGCCAGCAGACCTCTAGATGGATGAGCTGTAATTACGGCTTTTGCTGTATCTCATTAAAAGTTCATAGCACAGTTCAAAGTTGGGCCTTTTTTTTAGGTATGTTAAAAGAAGGCTTAACTCCTGCTTTCCAGACTATTCTCTCAGCTCATGCATTGATTTGGCTTACTGCTTATTTAGCATATAAGTTCTCACCTCCCACCTCTGTTGAGCTCCAGGGCTTGTGTACTGTTTAACTTTGGGACTGTATTATGTGCTTATTTTCTGTCTCCCTCAACATTACACACTACTCTGCAAATAGTGCATTTAATACATGCACAAGAGAACCTTGCAGGCAGCTTAAGTAACCTTGAGAGTTTCTCAGCTAAATATAACCTACAGGTAAACCGAGAGTTATTTTGTGTATACACACACACACAAACATTTGTATGTTTCTAGGCTCTTGTTTTGGGAGACAAGATCTTGCTGTGTGGCCTCAGAAAGACCTGAGACTTGTGATACTTCTACCTTAGCCTTCAGAATGCTGACTTTAACAGGGATGTGCTTACTTACCATGCCTGGCTTAAAAAAAAAAGTTTGAGCTTTTAAAAAAATTGTTATAAGGCTGGGCATGGTGGCGCACGCCTTTAATCCCAGCACTCTGGAGGCAGAGGCAGGCAGATCTCTGTGAGTTCGAGGCCAGCTTGGTCTACATAGTGAGTTCTAGGACAGCTGGGGCTACAGGGAGAACCTGTCTCTAAAAGACCAAAAAAAAAAAAAAATTGTTATAAACAAGTGTGTTCATTGTCTGAAACTTTAGAATGCCTCCGAGTTACCTGGAGGCTTTATAAATGGAATTGCTGATCTGCCTTCTAATTTAGTAGATCCTGAGTGGTGCCTCCTAGTTCACAGGGAGCACATTGCTTCTGCTTGGCAGAGCAGCCACCACACTCTTCTGGCTTGTATGCTTGTATTCCCCTGTGTGTTGTTGCCTTTTCCTTCCAACTGTTCTTTTTCTATCACTTTTCCTCCCAACTTCTGTTTACCAAACTTTGATGCAAAGGTAGGCAATATCAACTTTTCTGTGTCAATGTCATGATTTATTTGACAGTAGTAAGGTGACAACATAACTATCAGTTGGGTGTTACAGTTCTGTATTAAGGTAATACTCATATTAAAAAAAAATGTTTTTGGGGCCAGCAGTATGGCTCAGTGAGTAAAGGCTCCTGCCACCAAGCCTCCATGACCTGAGTTCAATCCCTGGGACCCTTTATGGTGGAAAGAGAAGGGAGAGTCCCATAAGTTGTCCTCTGCCCTCTGCAGGTACATTGGGGCACATTGCCTCCCCACCCAGACACAAACACAAAAATAAATAAATAAATCCTCCCTACCCAGACACAAACACATAAATAAATAAATAAACAAATAAATAAATAGTGTAATACAAGTTTTAAAATGGACTTTTAAAATGTGTTTAGAGTATTTTCATTGAAATGTCATATGATAGTATATTGTCACTAAGTTGTGGAGTTTGAATGACAGGGAAAAATAGAAATCATGGGGGCAATGAGTAGTTAGGAAGGAGACTCGATTTGAAGTCATGAAATGAAACTTTGGTTCAAATCATGAAATAAAACTTAAGAGGTTAAGTGTATGAATTTTAAGATCTGGGCTGGAGAGTTGGCTCAATGGTTAAGAACATTGGTTGTTCCTGTAGAAGACCCGGTTCAAATCCCAGCACCTACATGGCAGCTAACAGCTGTCTGTAATTCCAGTTCCAGGGGATCTTACAGCTTCTTCTGTCCTCCATGGGCTGTCCTCCATGGGCATTGAACTACATGGGCGCATTTACCTACATGCAGGCAATACACACATACACATAAAATAAAAATAATAAAATATTAAAAAAAAGAATTTTAAGATTAAACTGGAGACTATTAAGTTAAAGGGAGAAACATTAAATAGAAAAGTATTTTGCACCGTAAGAATTTTCTTTTACCAAAGTGCTTAATCATTATTTCCTTCCCTCAGTTTTCATAGGAAAAATTAGTACTGCTAATAAAATGGGGTTCTTCTGGAGAGGAGAGTGGATAAAAAAAATACTTTACATGAATATAACCTTGCTGGAAAATACCTGTAGAATAAGGAGATGTCAAAACTGCATGTTTTATTACTCTGTATTCTCTTAGATAGTCTGTGAAAACTTGAAAGTTATTTATATATTTATTTGACAGCAGCTGGTACATGAGTCTGTCTTCAGGCAGGGTCTTATATAGCTGAAACTGGTTCCCAACTTGCTGTGTACCAAGGATGACCTTGAATTTATGATCCCCCTGCCTCCGAGACCTGAGTGCTAGGATTACACGTGTGGTACTGGGGAATCAAACCCAGGGCTTCGTTGATGCTAAGCAAGCACTCTACAACTGAGTCACATTCCCATCCCCTTATATATTTTTTTTTGAAATACATTTAATAGTTAACATCTATTGGAAGGTAGAGGCTAATTAGGAATGACTTAAATAGCCTCTTTGAACTCAGTTATCTAAGGAAAAAGGTAAATGTTACCGGAGACACACTTTTCCCCAGTTGCCTAATCTCAGAAAGTATTGGCAGTGACTTGAACATTTCTTGACTCCCAAAGACAGGGTGTGTGGGCAGAGGAACAGGGAGGGTATTGGTTAAGAAAGCAAATGCAAAAGTCCCCTCTAGGGTGAGGCCTCCCCGACCCTAAGGTGCTTTCTGGGCTTTGGGTTTTGAAGAGTCTCTGTGGTGCAACTAGCCACAGGCATTGTGTTTCTTCATTGCCCAACTGTCTGCACTCATATTCCTAGCTTGCCAAGTTACCTCTGATTATCTAGACTGGCAAATTGGATTGCAAAAACGTGAGCATGCTGCTGGACAGTGGTGTATACCTCTAGTCCCAGCTATTTGGGATGGAGGCAGGGGATCTCTTAAGTTCAGGAAAATCTCCAACAAAGATTATGTAGATTGATTTGTAATGGTGAAGGTCATGTTAAAATTTTTCCTTGAGTATAAAATCAGTGATATGTGGGGGCAGACAGTGGTGAGGTTAAAATTAAACTCTGATAAATGACAGTTTTATCTTACTGTCTTAACAGGGAATGGAGAAAAGATGGCATTTCCCAAAGGAGACCAACATCCCCTGGGTATTTCCCATAGTCTGGGCATAGAGATTCTCTATATAATTATTCATTCTAACTGTATCCTTGGGAGACAATTGACAGTTGTCATCTTGGGTAATGTGTGAGCTCCACACCTGACCTTGACCAAAAGCACCTCTCTCCAAAGACATACTTAGTGGTTAAGTAATTTTGTCACATTCATACAGTTGTGACTGAACTGGAACTTGATACAGGGTACTTTTGTTCTCAGGAGTATGTGGCCTGTTAGACCATACTGTCTTCCAAGCTAGGTTGTTCATTTTCTTATGTCAGAAAGTATTGTAGTAAATGTTGGTTTTCTCAGTGAATAGCACATGGAGATCAAATGCCAGTATATCATATAGCAAACATCAACATGCATGAAAAATGAAATTAGTGTCATGACACGACGCTTAATTCTCAGCTGCCACAAAGGACTGGAATTCTTGCGAAGTGCATGACTATATGCTTTTATTTCTGAATCTGGAAAGCTCTGTGGGGGAACAAAATCTTCCAGATTACTCTATTTTTCCACAGAAAAATAGTTCAAGGTGACCTTACTTCTCAGACCGTGGGCCTAGATGAATTCTTTCATTTTCTTCCTCATCCTGCGAAGGCCTGGACACTTCTTCATCCTGAGGTAGAGATAATGACAGTGAAGTTTTACATTACAGAATTGGACTCTGGTAAAGATTTGTGTGTAAATGATGAAGCAGAAACAGAATACAGTAGAGGACTTTTCAGAACGTATGGGAGAGCACATTGTGGTGGAAGGGCCATACAATGAGTTATGACTTATACAGTGAGTTGATTAGATTACATAATTCTATTTATTTCCTTCCTTTTTTTTTTTACATTGGTTAGGTGG